CGCGCACGTACTGCCTGTGGGAGGAGGGGCGGTCAGCGGCCCTGGCCCTCCGAGACCGCGGTGCTTCTGCGTCTGCGGGGTGCTCTTCCGGGGAAGGGGGGGCTGCAGGGCCAGAACCCAGGCACAGCCCAGGGGCCTGGGAGGGAGGAGCCCAAGCCGGCCCTGGGTCAGACCCCCGCCCGACGAATGGGGACAGCTGCTAGGTGGACAGGCCATCTGAACCGCAGCGGGAGCGGCGGGTGGGGGTGGCTCTGTGCTGGGCCAGTCCGGTGGCCTGAACTGCAGTTCAGTCCTGACCCTGACGGAGGGGGAAGTGAGAAGTCACCCCCCAAGGATGCCACGTGGCAGTCCCTGCTTCTCCATTCTCCTCGGGACTTCGGCGGGCATGCACGCACTCCTGGTGTGGTTTTCCAAGCTCCCAGGTCCAGGAACTGAACCGTGGAGTCAGCCATGTGGGATCCAGTGCATAAATCTCCACACCACATGTGGATACCACACCTCTGATTTAAGCCCTGGGAGCCGGTGAACCCCCAGCCTCCCCACCCCCAGGGGCCATGCCCAGGCCTCCCCACAGCCTCGGGATTCTGGGGAAAGGGCCCTCTGGCAGGGCCTGTACCCGCAGCGGGCTGGGGGCCTGGGGCAGCCCGGCGCGGCACTCACGTCCGGCATCTGACACACTCTTCCACAAACATGTTCCCATGGAGCTCTGCCAGCTTGTCCCTGTGGGAGGAGGAGAGAGGTGTGGTGGGCGGGGCGCCCCACCCTGAGTCTGTGATCAGTGAGGCCCCCTCCTCCAGGAAGACCTCTCTAATTCCTCATCCTTCTTTCTGGCTCTTCCATCCACTGCTGTTGCAGCCCTGGCAGGTGCCCGACCTCTCTGAGCCCGAGGACTCATGAAACCGTGTGGCTGACCCCATCTCTGTGAATTCCATTCCGCTGGCTGGAAGGGCTGCAGGGCCCGGGCTTAGGAAGTAAGAGATCATGAGATCGAGCCAGCTGTGCGCCTCTGGGCAGGCCGCTTACCTGCTCTGCACTCAGTCCCCTCTGTGGAACGGGACAGTGTGCAAATCTCGAGAGGCCTGAAAGGCTCTTGTGCCCAACTCGCTGGGTCCCCCCCTCACAGCCATGCCTATGTCCCCCCCTGACCTCGCTGCTGAAGGCCCTGCCTCCCACCAGCCGCGGCAACGCGGACACAGCGGTTAGGCGGTGCGCTCCTATACGGAGTCCGCGGCCGGCCGACTGCACTGTGTGTGTGCCCTGACCCTGTCCGGCTGAGGCAGGCTGTCTGTCTGTCCTCTCAGGGGGGAAGTAAACAAGCAAGCTGCAGGGCCAGCCCTGAGGCCTGGGGGTTAGGACAGCCAAGTCCCACATGGCCAGTGATGGTTCAAACCCCAGCCCTGGTGGCTTGAGAAGCATGCTGGGTGCGTGCACGCTGCCCCAAATCCCCACGGGATGGCGAGGTGCAGGGGTGCGGAGGGACCACAACCCGGGGCGCTCGCTCCCCTCCTGGCTTTGGCAAGTGCGCACACATGTCCGCTGACAACCGAAGAGTAGGAGAACGCCGAGGCGGGGGCTGAGCGCTGAGCGCGGCCGCGGGGGGCGGGG